TGGGCTGTTCTTTTTGCTCCAAAATGCCCACCACAAGAATGAGAATGATAAAAAGTAAGAATGAAATGAAATTCATCCTATGGTACTCATCTCCTTACTACTTAATCCATATAAAATTTTCACAAGTAAGGATTATCCCAAAAATAATATTTAGCATCAGGTCATAACTTGTCCTTTTAGGATGTATACAAACCTGGAGGGAATTCTTTGGTGACTAAATAGTTCATCAAATCAGCATACCATGGTCTTATAGAGGAATGTAGCACATACAATTGTTCATCAGGGAATGTTTCTCTTATTGTTTCGGTTGGTATATCCTCGGTCCTTAGTTGATTAAAGTGATCAGCCATATGGTTTTCAGCACCTTTTTTATTTTTGATCTCAAGATCAAATTCTTGCAAAAGCAAGATCCACCTAATCATATTGGTTTAGACTTCTTTTTCTTCAAAAGATACCTTAAAGTTGCATGGTCAGTAAAAACAATGACTTTTGTACCAAGTAGATATGACCTGAATTTTTCAAGAGCAAACACCACTGCAAATAGTTCCTTTTCAGTTGTATGGTAATTACATTGTGCTCCATCCAACATGCGAGAAGCATAGGCAATAACATGTAAATTCTTCCCTCTTCTTTACCCAAGTATAGCACCTACTGCATAGTCACTCGCATCACACATTATCTCAAAAGGCTTATCCCAATTTGGTGGTTGGATTATTGGGGCAGATGTGGCACGCCTCTTAAGCTCATTAAGAGCATATTTACATGCTTGATCAAATATAAAATCCACTTTTTTGGCTAATAGTTTACACAAGAGTACTATAATCTTCAAGAAATCTTTGATAAAATGTTGATAGAAACTTGCATGACCTAGAAAAGAATGAACTTCCCTCATGCATGAGGGGTAAGGCAATGATAAAATAACATCTATTTTAACTTTATCAACCTCTAATCCACGTGAAGACACTAGATGCCCAAGAACTATTCCTTGTTCTACCATAAAATAACACTTTTCATAGTTTAAGACAAGGTTAGTTTTAATGCACCATTTCAAGATCAAAGATAAATTTTCTAGATACTTATAAAAAGAATCACCATATACCATAAAATCATCCATCAAAACCTCAATTATTCTTTCAACATAGTCAGAAAAACTACTCATCATGCATCTTTGAAAAGTTGTGGATGCATTACAAAGCCCAAAGGGCATTCTCCTATATACATATATACCAAATGAACATGTAAATGTAGTTTTTTTCTGATCTTCAGGATTAATAACAATTTGATTGTATCCACTATATCCATCAAGAAAGCAATAAAAAGACTACGTGCTTGGCATTCAAGCATTTGATCCATGAATAGTAATGAAAAATGATTTTTATGTGTAGCAAGATTTAGCTTTCTGTAATCAACACACATTCTCCATCCACTCGATATGTGAGTAGGGATGAGTTCATCATTTTTTTCTTCACTAACGTGATTCTGGTTTTTTTAGGCACCACATGGATTGGCGCCACCTATTTACTATCCGTGATGGGATAAATGAATTCTGCTTTCACTACCTCC